GTACAATACTTTACTGTAATAAAACATACATATTTTTGTTAACTTTAAGTCTAACTCCCCATGCAATGTTACAACAGAATGATGATTTGTTGATTTTTCGTTGGATATTTATTGATTTTATATAAACAACCATGCAACTGTTTAATCTATATTTCATGAAAAATTGCTTCCAGTTTAATCTAATAATACCTATTTTATACTAATTTTCTTTCATGCCTGCAGATCCCCATGGTATTAGCATGTTTTGCATGCTAATTGTGCTTTACACAATATTTGTTGGCTTTTGCTCTCACAAATTAGAACCCCCTTTCAAAACTTCTGTGTATGGGTCTGATGTCATCATTGCCTGTAGCTATTACAACTGAAACTGTGGCAGTAATTATCATCAACTTTAATACTACTAATACACAGTATTTTATTTAATAAAGTAGAAAATGAAAAATTGAAGTTCTTCAGTCAATTCTGTAAAATAAAAAGTAACATTAAAAGGAGGCACAATGTATAAGTACTGTTTTGTTTGTGGAAATAATAGTCCTTTGTTTATGAAAAATAACAGTCCTTTGTATATGGAAATAATAGTCCTTTGTATATGGAAATAATAGTCCTTTAGTTATGGAAATAATGGTCCTTTGTATATGGAAATAATAGTCCTTTGGTTATGGAAATAATAGTCCTTTGTATACGGAAATAATAGTCATTTGTTTATGGAAATAATAGTACTTTGTTTTATTCAGTTTATTATGATATATCTTAAAGTTTTAATAAATGTATAAAAAGTTATGATTTATACATGTAGATATTTAATATGTTTGATAAACTCTGAAAATAGTAATAAATCAATGTGGTAATGTTTTTGAGTTTATAGGTATAAATCAGTAATTAATATTCTAGTATATAGGCTAAATTTATCATTTTTTAGGTATATATTATTAAGAATTTCCAATATAAAGTAAGCTAGCTCAGAACTAATATAAAGGGCAACTTATATTAAAGAAGACAAACAGACTAACTTGAAATACTTAATGTTGTTAGGTTTTTTTTTTTTAGAGCAAAGCCATATTGGGCTATCTGCTCTGCCCACCACAGGGAATCAAACCCCAGATTTTAGTGTCATAAGTCCAGGAACTTACTGCTGTCTCATTAATATGCCACAAAACAAACCTATAATGATTATAATCCATTGGTTCATCAGTAAGGTATCGTTGTTCTTTAGAATATTTTTGCTTTTAAGTCCCATAGTGTCTCATGAGGTTCAGCCAAGGAAGTTTAGATTAGTCCTAAAACTACATATCGTCATCATACAGTGTAAAATAACCTTCATAAGCATGATTCAAAACAATTATAAAAAAGTTTTATTAACCATTGTAACCAATAAAACTTCATTAATAGGCTTTTATTTACAAAGTTTGCTATTTGTTTGTTAATTAGATCTACACAGTTTGTAAGGTATCAAATGACCACATTTCTACATACCAGGGTAAGAGAAAAAGATAAAAATTTATAAATCACAGCACAAGGTATACAAATTTCAGAAATTAATAATTAATAAATTAGTGCTTGACCAGGACTTTTTATAACTAAATATCTCACTTCCAGACATAGAAGTATTCAAATAAAAAAACATTATTGTTCACATCAAATTATACAATATAACTGATATTTATTATAGCAACAAATTAGAGAAAAAAGAATCAGAAGAAAAAAACACTTAATTCATAAGATTACAGGGAAAAATTATCAATATTCAACACTTCTCAAAAATAACATCAGTCACAAATAATAATCAAGCATCTTCAGTAAAATGTCATCACTTTTAATAGTCAACAAAAATACTGTACACATCACACAGCCTAACTTATTTTTCAAGGCTTGTTTAACTTTAGATAAGGTTCTTTTATTTCCTTACTAGACCATGAGATTACATATCACATGACTAACAAATTACCATTTGTTTTACATAAGCATACATAAACTCATTTGATATTTAATATACACCAAGAAACAGGTGAGCTAGTGTTTTTTAAGGTAAATATAACTTAACTTAGTGATAGAAGGAAAAATGACATAAATGACAAACAAAACCATAACTAAAATAAAATAGAAATAGCTAACTCGCAAGTTTTCCATGACATGAAATATTAATATACTTGTGTGATATTCCAAGTCTTGGAACATATGAGTGGCTCAGTCAGTCTCCTGGTTATGGCATTAAGAGGCTTAAGGACCTAGCATGCTTAGTAACTAAGTGTTGTGATATGTCATCATTTAAATGAAATAGATAGGTATGGAAATGAAGCCAAACAAGACAATTTCCAAAAGTCAAACTACTTGAGCTTGGTTCAAAATGAATCAAAACAATGACAAAATAAAATACATTTACTTAATAGACACTAAAAATGTTCTAAATAAAATGGTATTTCTAATCAAACTAAGTCTGAGTTATTGGTTGAAAGATTAAGAGTAGTGTTAGTGGCTAGAACAGTAAATCTGATGAAGAATGAATACTTGGATGAGACTTCACAGCATGTTTTGACATTTTTTGAAGATAGAACTGAATCTGACTAAAAGTGACAAAAACATTTCCACAAGCTACATTCACTCTATAGCTGAGCAATCACAAAAATCACATGATAGGTATCTAAAAGTATATCTACTCCATGTAACTATTTACAAAATAACCTCAAACTTATGATGTTATTGAAGACAGCATTACCATGTTGCAAAACACCAGATAAGATCTTTGACTAACTCATGCCATGAAGATTACAGAATAATACTGTTATGTCTCTGTTTGTTAATTAACTTTCCGTAACTTCGTTCTGAAGAAACTTTAGCGACACAAGTCCTTACTTAATAAAACTGGTTTATTCTTTCCGAATATAACTTTACGATACACTTAATTTTAACAATCTCGCTATAACAACGAACGTTAACTTCAACAATACGTCTCTCTCTGACTGCAGTTCAATTACTCATTACCTACACACACTATTACATCACTCTG